CATAGGCAAAAGCAGGTAAAATTTTAAGAGCCTGCAGGAGGCACACACAAGCTACCACAGCACAAATCATGAGCAGCCCGGAGCACCTCCGGATTCCCTCAGCCCCGGGAAACGAGGACATTCTTTCTGTTCTAAACCGTTGGCCCGGAATTCCTCACCCAACAGAAAACACCCCGAAAGACGGAGGCCGGTGACCACAGACCAGGTAAACAAGGGCCAAGCGAGCTTGCCACCGAACCCAAGCAGCTCCTTGGGCCAATGGGAAATGGGGTTTGATAGAAGCATCTAGAACGACATTTGATATAAACAGTCCCATCCATGCTACGCAAGAGGGTGGCAGACATACCAGCTGTGTAGATATGAGACACTGTTTCTGCTGTAATTATTCCAAGTGACTGGGTTTTACTTGAAAATGTGTGTGTGTGTGTGTGTGTGTGTGTATGTATGTACCAGTCCTGGAACTTGAACTCAGGGCCTGGGCACTGTCACTGAGCAATTTAGCTTGAGGCTGGTGCTCTACCACTTGAACCACAGCTCCACCTCTGGTTTTCATTGGAGATCAGAATCTCATGGACTTTCCTCACCCAGCTGGCTTTGAACCGCGATCCTTAGATCTCAACCTCCAGAGTTGCTGGGATGACAGACACTTTATTTTTACAGTAATACCAGACAGGTGTGCATCTGGATTTATTGTGCATTTATGATGTGCGTGGCACACAGCAACCACGATGGCTGGAGGACAGATAACCCGAGGGATGCCGTGCCGGGCTTTGTGATCGCGTGCCACCGTTTATAATTCAAGGCACGGGTGACGGGCTCGGGGACAGACGTTCAGGAGCTGTGGGTATGAAACACCGTGGCAGGCCAAGGGCCAACAGGAAAGATAGAAAGGAACTCTCTGGAGAAGCAGAGGGAAGCTGAGCAGAGTAGCTCCCATCTGTAACCCTGGCGGCCCGCCAAGGGGCAGATAAATCCTTGAGGCTCTCATCTCCATCATTTATTTTATTTGGTTTGGTTTGTTGTCGGTCCCCCGCTCCCCACCGGTTTGGTTGAATTAGGCAAAGTCCTGCCGGTTCACTGTTGTGTGTGTGTGGCGCCACCCAGCGGCCAGGTGTGTCAGCGCGGCTCTACCAGTGGCTCCTGGGTGAATGGGCCCTTACAGGCCCGGCCCTGTTCCAAGGAGTCTCAGCCACTTGGGTTTGGTTTGGTGGCAAAGCATTTCTGTCCATCCACTGGCATCTGTCCGTCCACCAGCACCACACACAGCCAGACAGGCGGCCCTTCACGCTCTTGTATGTGGGGTGAAGTCCCAGGTTCGAGTTCCCACACAACTCCCTGTTGGAGAATATGGGTGCAGGTGGGGGACAGAAGGGATGATCGAAGGAACCGCCAGACTCTTGTTACTCTAGAGAAGGGCCCGTTGCCTGTATCCCCAGCAAGGCTTGAACCGCGGCCCAACTTTATTTCTACCCTGCCCTCCTCGGCCTAAATACCCAACACAAGTCTAATTTCTCAATTACAGATTAACTTTGCTTTTTTGTGCTGGCACTGGGATTTGAACTCGGGGCAGCAAGCTCTTGTTTGTTTTTTCCCCTTGAGGCCGGCGCTCTACCGTGTTGAGCCACAGCTCCACTTCTGGCTTTCTGGTGGTTCACAGGAGATGAGTTTCACAGACTCTCCTGCCCCGGCTGGCTTCAAACTGGGATCCTCAGCTCTCGGCCTCCCAAGAGGCTGGGATGGCAGGCATGCACCGCTGGCCTCCCGTAAAGGGTTTTAACCTGGGGGGGTCTCAGCGCCCTGGGCCCCGTTGGTGGTAGCAGAGACCCTGGCATTCCACAGAGCTCTGCCTCCCGTGGCAACCACTGTGACGGTGCCAGGAAGGCGAGAGGCTCAGTGCCAGGCCCAGCTGCCCCCCCACCCCCCAGCCCCACCCGGCGCCAGCCACCGCAATCCGGGGGGATGCGAGCGGACCAGCGGGGGTGCGTTGGCCTGGGGTGAACAGGGAGGGGGGCCCCGGGGGCCATGGGTTTTGGGGGTCGCAGCCTCCACAGCTCTGGCTGAGAAACGAGACGGCCAAATGCTGCTGTGGGAAGTTGGTAGACACGGGTGCCATGCTCGGTGGAGGCCACAAGGGGCTCTGGGGGTGCAGGTGGGGAGGTTGGGGTCCTCAGAGGGGTGACCCCAGTGGAGGGGACCCCTCCAGGTCACGGCCAGGCAAAGGGGCTGTGGCGACAGAACGGACTTTACCAGAAACTCCAGGAGCCTCCCCTACCCGGCCTCCCCTACCTGGCCTCCCTAGAATAAAAGAAGACTCATGCTGGATGCTCAGCTAAGCAGAGGCGTTTGGGGGTGAACCGTGGGCACCCCGAGTGCTCATAGATGACACTTGAGACTCTGCACTGTGGAACTGTGCGTGGAGAGGATCCATGGGGGGCGGGGCGCTGCTCCAGCGACATGGGGGGAGGCGGGGGAGAAGGGAGCGCAGAGCCTGGCAGGTGGGCAAGGACCAGAGTCAGAAGGAAAGGGAGCGGCTTGCTGTCACCAGAACCTCCCGCACACATGGCTGTCCCCCCCCTCCAAACCCCCAGAGATCGCGTCTCACCAACTCTCCCCTCCTCCTAGGACGGAGCGTCAGCATCAGGCTCCATGCAACTCATGACCCCAACTTGGAACCAGGCCTGCTGCTCCTCCAGCCAAGCGAGGTCAGGGGCCGGGCCTGGCCCAGGACAAAGCCGCCTGGTAAGCGCCACCCAAACACCGCTCCCTGCAGCGCCCTGAGGCTTCTCCTTGGAGACTTGCGTATCCGTGGGTCCAAGGCAGTGCTGGTGAACGATTGCAGCACGGCCAGGTGAAATCGGGCCGGTGAGCCCATCACCTCACACCGCAGTCGGGTGTCATGGCTCCCGCCTGTCATCCCAGCGACTCAGGAGGCGGAGATCTGAGGATCATGGTTAAAAGCTAGCCTGGGTGGGAAAGTCCATGAGACTCTCAACTCCTGTGAACCAGCAAAAAGCTGGAAGTGGAGATGTGGCACCAGCCCTAAGCAGGAAAAATCAAGTAAAAAAGGCAAGCAAGAGTGCAAAGCCCTGAGTTCAAACCCTAGTGTCAACACACACACACACACACACACACACACACACACACACACACACACAGCCATGGGACATCTCTCCCCCGGAGCAGGGTCTCTTTGTACTTCACATAACCCCCCTTCCCCCTCCACCCCACCCCCACCCCTGTCCCTCCTTAAGGCCCACCATGTGTTCATGCCTGCGTCTGTGTCTGTTCTGCGCATTGGCTCTGAGGGTGAGTGCTGGGCTGGGTGCAGGGGCCTCTTCATGGGCAAATGATTTCTGTCCCTTCGGACCTCTGCATGGAGTGGGGCTGCAGCCTCTTCCCTCTGCTTGTACCCGAACACCCCGAGCAAGCACCCAGAGCAAGTACCCAGAGCATCCAGAATGAGTACCCAGAACACACAGGGTGCCCAAAGTGAGTTCCCAGAGTACCTAGAGTAAGTACCATGAGCAGCCCTGAACTCGATGCTCCCCCAAGCCTAGAGACCCAAGCACCCATGCCCGGCAGCCGGAGCCCACGTCAGGAGGTGGGCAGGCTTTGGGCAGGGTACTGGGCTGCAAGGGGGGTCACCGGCGGGATATCCTGCCTGGTGCCTGGCGCTGCCCAGCTCACCATCCTGACAGGGTCCTTCTGCCACCTGTAAAGACGTGGCGATGGCGCCACCAACACCCACCGCAGCCCAGCCCCAGCCATGGCAGCCGGCCCAGGCACTTACCCATGGCTGCTCATTTGCATGCTGTATTTGCATGCCTTCATTTACATATCTTCATTTGCATATCAGCAGCCACACATCCACATCCATCCATCCACAGGCCTCTGGCTCCTTCCAGACTTCCTGGTAGATTTCCAGGCAGGGGTGGGAGGCGTGGCTCAGCTGGCAGAGTGCCTGGCCCAGGAGCGGAAAGCGTCAGGTGCTTCTCGTTGAAGACACGGGCCAGTTGGCAGACGCCCCCCAGGACTGGAGACGCTGTGATGTGGGCCTTCTGGAAGAATCTCTCCCAGCACCACAGGGGGGGGTTTCATGTCTCAGGAAGAGGCAGCCTGGGCCATGCAGTTTCTGAGGCTAGCAGCTTGCTTTGATTTCTGCAGTCCAAACAGGACCAGAGACTGGGGAGGGAGCAGCTGCCTCACCCAGGCACAAGTCTGGGTTCGGATCCCCACCTCTGCACATCCACCGGTATTTCCTAGGACGAAGTCCCAGGGCTGTGATGGTGAGCAGGGCATCGAGCAAAGGCTCACATGGGCCGGCGGTTGGTGCTGGTGTCCTGGGCTCTGGTCTCTGCTTGAGCCATGGTAGGCCTCAGTTTCCTGAGCTGCAGAAGGAAGGTCCCCAGGAGGGCTACACAGCTGAGTTAATCTGTACAGTGATCAGCAGCTATACGGATGGCTCTCTGGGGCCTAACGCCATGAAAACACACCTTTTCTTTTTAGGAGTGGGAGGGAAGGGGGGTGCCAGCCCTGGGTCTCAAACTCAGGGTCTGGGCGCTGTCCTTGAGCTGTTTTCCACTCAAGACTGGTGCTCCACCACTTGAGCCACAGTGTCCACCGCCTCTAGCTTTTTTTAGTGACTAACTAGAGAGCGGCAGAGTCTCTGGGACTTTGGGGGGCACCCGGGAGGGCTGGCTTGGAACCCGATCCTCAGGTCTCAGCCTCCAGAGTCACTGGGGGGAGGGGGGGAGATGTTGGGCAAAGCCCCATGGAAGTTCTGGGCCTGAGGTCAAGCAGGTTGAGCCTCACACCTGCCCTGAGGGCGGCGGCCACGCACGTGCCTTAAACTGATAAGAGACTGGAGAACCCGGAATGGTCCCATTTGGAAGACATTTCTGAGTCAAATTACCAGGGGGCAAAGGGCAGCCCCTCCCGCGCGGCGGGGGCGGGGCCTGTCGAGGAAGTGGCCTCGGTCTCCACGCCTGGGCTGGGCTCAGCCACCTGGGCTTGGGAGGTGGAGAGCGGCCGGGCAGTGACCTTCCCTCCAGGCACAGATCAGGAGACAGATCGGGAGCGGGTAAGAGCACCCCGGCTGAGTCCCCGTCCAGGGGCGGCCGGCGGGGAGGAAGGAAGCCTGGCTGGGGGAGCTGGCGCCCCGGTGGATACAAAGTTCCCAGCTCGGTCCCTGGGCTGGTGGCCTTGGCAGTGCGCAGAGTCAACCATGGGGCCCTGGCTTCCCTGTGAGCATGGTGTGCCCGTGTTCAGTCAGGGCCAGCGTGGGGAAACCAGGGTTGGCGCTCACAGACCCAGGCACCGCTGGGGAACTTGGGCTGACACCCCGGGGTCCGGGGCTCCGGGCTGGGGGGGCTTCCCCGCCCCCGCACCACGAGGCCCCAGCCCCCACCCCGGGCTCTGTGTCACCCTGTTCCTCATTTCACTTTCAGGATGAAGGTGCACTGGAGGTTTGGGGGCGCCCAGGGCACAGGCAATCCTGGGGTGATGGGCCGGCCTCGGGGTCACTCAGAGTGACCACATGAACTTGGTGGCACCATGGGGTTCTCTAGGGGACCCCCCAACCCTCCCCACACCTGGGCTCCGGCCCTGGTGGCGCAGGGGGCTAGGCGGTCACCCCACGGCCTCGTCACGCCCCTCAGGGCCTGTGATGCAGTCCGTGGCCCCGTGGGGTGGCCCCGTGGGCCCACGGACCCGCAGAGGCTGCTGGGGGGGAGGGTCCCCCCCAGGGGAGGGGTGGCTCCAGAGGGAAACGCGGGTGACAAAAGCCACTTTGTGACCCAGCCCCCGTGGGCAGTTGCTGGGAGAAAGTGTGTGTCCGTGGGAGGGAGGAGCAGCCGGGCATGGGGCTGAAATCTGCGGGGGCTGAAGCAGCCCTGGGGCGTCTTGGAAGAAGTGGGGGGAACCACGGAGTGAAGGGTCAGCCGCCCCCAAGCCCACTGAACTGAGTGACACAGGAGCCACGCGCGATGCGGGGAAGGCTGGGTGTGAAGGAAATCCGACCCCCGCTCCACGCCTGTCCACGGCCCCTCCGCGCCCGGCCACCCCGCCATGCCGTCCTCCCGTGCGGCACCCCGCACCCCAGCATCCACCATGTTGGGGGCCACGTCCCCTCTTCACCAGGCGGAGGGCCAGACCGCTGCCCTGCTCAGCACTGGGCAACTCCAGCCGCGGTTTGTAAGGTGCATGGGAATTTCTCCCATGGGCCGGCCCCCCCACAGCCCACCAAGCAGCCAAGTGGCTTCCAGTTGCGGGGTCCGGCCCTGTGGGGGTAAAGGGAGCTTTGTATCAAAAACCCCACCGAGTAACTCCACCATGGGAGCCAAGCTCCCAGCCCTTGCAGTTTTAGTTTCTTTTCGGCTGGAGTCTCCTGCATGTCCCAAGTCGCCGGGATTATAGAAATGTACCACCACACCCGGCCCTGCTCAGCTCCTACCACTTCTGCTGGCGCGCTTAAAGACTGGAAAAATACAGGCCGCCCTCCCTCACCCGGCCCCTCACCTGGCCACGCCAAGGCTTCCCGCGTCCCCGCGCCCACGGGGACACCGGTGGCTTTGTCTTGCAGGTTGCAGAGCCGCCATGTACAGCAGCAGCAGCAGCAGCAGCACGTGCGAGCTAGAAGACATTCCACTGTCAGACGACGACCCAGACAGCATGGAGTTCAAGATCCTGGCCTTCTACGCCAGACACCATGCCTTCAAGGGCAGCCCCATCTTCCCGGCCAAGCTGCAGAGGACCAGGACCGAGCCCCAGAAGGGACCGGGGCCCTGGGCAGCCGACGCCTGGACGCAGCACGGGCCGGGGTCCTGGAGGCACACGGCGATGCTGGGCGAGAAGAGCCTGGGTTTTGGCAAGAGGCCGTCCTGGAGGCGGCTGTTTGGGGGAGGCGCGGGGAGGGAGGAAGACTCGCCCAGCTCGCCGCCCGGGGAGATCCGCACCCACGGCCAGGCGTCGTCCCTGTCCCTGCCCAGCGTGGAGCAGCGCCTGCAGAGTGAAGGTAGGCCGGATCCCCTCCTTTCCTTCCTTCGATCCTCCTTTCCTTCCTCCGTGTCCATCCCGTGAGGAGCAGCCTCCCCCACGGACTTTCCTGCCCGGGGCTGGCCTCCAACCACGATCCTCAGGTCTCAGCCTCCCGAGCAGCCGGGATGACAGGCGTGAGCCACAGGGGCCCAGCTTTGTGCTCACATTTATAACAGCCGGTCTGACCAGGAGGGGCTGCCCGAAGGAGTTTGGTTTAGTTTTTTTTTTTTTAAGCTTTTAGATGAGATTGAGAATACAAATGACTAGAAACAGCAGCGTGGCAGCGGGTCATGTCCACCATAGGAGGCTGAGATCCAGAGGACTACACATCAAATCCAGTCCAGGCAGAAATGGTCAGGAGAATCCAGCTCTTTTAAGTAACTAGCAAAAAGTCCAGGCTTGGGCTGGGAAGGTGGCTCAGTGGTACAGCCTTGCATGCTTGAGGCCCTGGGTTTGATTCCTCAGCACCACATAAGCAGGAAAAAAAAGGCCGGAAGTGGCGCTGTGGCTCAAGTGGTAGAGCGCTAGCCTTGAGCTGAAGAGCTGAGGGACAGCACCCAGGCCCAGAGCATATATATATATATATATATATATATATATTTATATGACCTTATATTCCAAGGTAGTTAAGGGGACTCCAGCCCTCATGTCTACCTTTTAAGTGGGATTGTAAACAAAAGCTAGCAAGGAAAGGACAATGGGTCTCACTTTCTGGAAAGTTCTTCCACACGGCTGCTCCCCCCATCTCCCTCCCCCCATCCCGCACCATGTCCTGTGGGATGCACCCCGAGCCCTCTGCTGTACCTGAGGAGGGAGAAGATAAGTGCTGGGGAGAAAATGGCCCACTGCGGCTCAGGGAAATCATTCCCAGCTCCCCGCTCTGCCCCGCTTCTGCACAGCACAGGCCCAGGACTAAGCCCCTACTCCAGCCTGCATGCTGCCAGCCCCGCAGTGCCCCCACCCCACCATTAGATGCTTGAAGAAGCAGGGAGCCTTCCTGAACCTCCCACCTGCCTGTCATGAGCAGCCATGATGAACGAGAACAATGGCTTTCGTTCTAACACGCTTATTTTTTGTCTTTTTTTTTGGGGGGGGTCTGGTTGTGGGGCCTGAACTCTGGGCCTGGGCGCTGTCCCTCAGCTCCTTAGCTCAAGGCTGGCGCTCTACTACTTGAGCCACAGCTCCAATTCCAGTTTTCTGATGTTTCATGGGATATCAGAGTCTCATGGACTTTCCTGCCCAGGCTGGCTGTGAACCGTGATCCTCAGATCTCAGCCTCCTGAGTAGCTGGGATGACAGGTATGAACCATTGGTGCCCAGCTTCTTTCTTTCTCTTTCTTTTGGCAGTTAGAGATCAGAGTCTCACAGACTTTCTTGCCCAGGCTGGCTTTGAACTGTGATCCTCAGACCTCAGCTTCCTGAGTCGCTGGGATGACAGGTGTGAGCCACCAGCATGGGGCTAACAGTTTTGTAAGTTAGTATTCCAAACCAGAACGTCATTCTGGGAGGAGACTCAGCACCATCTTGTCCCGTTTCAGCCGTGGACCCCAAGGTTGCCTCCATTGCCAACCGAGTGGCCGAAATTGTCTACTCATGGCCACCACCAGAAGACCGACTGCACCAGGGAGGCCACAAGCTCAAGGACTACATGGTCCCCTACACTGTCTACCAAGGCTTTGGAGGGGCAGAAGGAGCTACGGGAGCCGAGAAAGGTGAGCAGCCTTGCTCCAGCCTGGGGGCTGGGGTGAGCCTGGGAGGGGTTGGGGTCACACATTGCCCAGCCCAGTGCTTGCAGCGCGAGGCTGGCCTCCCCCTCCCTCCAAAATGGCCCCCCTGTTGTGTCCCCAGCCCTGAAGTAGTGGGCCACAGAGACTGGAGAGGAGCCCCAGGCCCAGGGAGGCCTACAAGGTGTACACATGAACGAGATCAAAGCCATCACATTTGAAGGCTGACGTGACAAGAAAACAAAGCTGGGCGCTGTGGCTCACGCCTGCAATCCCAGCGACTCAGGAGGCTGAGGTCTAAGGATTTCGGTTCAAAGCAGGAAATTCCGTGAGACTCTTGATCTCCAATGGACCACCAGAAAATCAGAAGTGGTGCTATGGCTCAAATGGTGTTGCACATGCCTTGAGCGAAAAAGTTCAGAGATGGCACCCAAGCCCTGAGTTCAAATCCCATTGCCAGAAGAAAAAAAAACAACCAACGATTTGTGAAGGAGGGGGTTTCTCTCAAGGGACAGGAGCCAGCAGAACCATGTCTCCAGCGCCCTTCTCCTGAGGGCAGTGCTGTGTTCCGTGGTGGGGTTGGGGTACTGAGGAAGGAGAGGAGGCTGGAGGAGAGGATCCTGGGGTTTGGGCCTGGCCGGGGGACGCCAGGTGAGCGTGATTAGGCCGCTCCTGCCCTCCTCTCTTGGAAATGCAGGCATGGCTGCCGGCCTCTTGTGAGGACTGTGTGCCTGCCCTGAAGAAGTAACAGAGCCTTCCCCCGACAGACGGAGAAGACCCCGTCATAGGCAGGATCGTGGCACTGCTGAAAGCCTCGGGAGACCAACTGGAAAGAGAGGTGCGAGCATCTCCATCAATGGTGGTCTCGGCTCCTGGCCACGCCCTCGTTTAGCACGCCTGTCATCCCGGCTACTCCGGAGGCTGAGATCTGGGGATCGAGGTTCATCTCCAGTGAACCACCAAAAGCCATAAGTGGGAACTGCGGCTCAAGTGGTAGAGCATTGGCTAGTCTTGAGTCGGGGGGGGGGCGGGGGACAACCCTTAAAACTGTCTCGGAGCCCAGGCCCCAAAGTCAAGGTCCCAGGACTGGCACAAAAGGAAAGAAAAGAAAAAGGCCAGACACCAGTGGCTCCCCCCTGTCACCCCAGCTACTCAGAAGGCTGAGATCTGAGGATCATGGTTCAAAGCCAGCCTGGGCAGGAAAATCCATGAGACTCTTATCTCCAATGAACCACCAGAAAACCAGAAGTGGAGCTGTGGCTCAAGTGGTAAAGCGCTCACCTTGAGCTGAAGAAGAGCTTAGGGGACAGTAGTACCCAGGCCTTGAGTTCAAGCCCCTGACTGACGAAAAGAAAAAAGCAAAAAGAACAAGTTTGGAAGATGTAGGGGTATATTCATCTCCTTCCCCCCTGGGCACCAGCATCCTGTGGTGAGCAGCCCCAAGCAGGGCCCAGGAAAAGCACAGAATGAAAGCTGGGGTTGCTTTTGTCTGTTGTGGGACTTGAACTCAGGGCCCAGGCGCCCTCCCTGAGCTCTTTCACTCAAGGCTGGCGCTCTACCACTTGAGCCACAGCTCCACTTCTGCTTTTCTGGTGGTTCCTTGGAGATCAGAGTCTCATGGACTTTCCTGCCCTGAGCTGGCTTTGAACTGCAATCCTCAGATCTCAGCCTCCTGAGTGGCTGGGATGACGGGCGTGAGCACCAGTGACCGCCAGCAGTGATTTCTTTAAGGGCAGTGAGGCAGAGGAAGAGGTGAAGTGGAAGGAAAAGGTATGGGGTGGCTGGTGAACACAGCAGCCCCCCCCCTTACACAGGGTCCTCCAAATGACACTCCCTGAGCTGCCCCCCCACCTCCCCCTCGTCTGTGGCCAGTTACCTTTGGATAGATCCAGTCAGCACCTCCGTCCACGCTGCCCACGGCCGGGTCAACGCCCGGCCCCAGCCCGCCCTGGGCCGACGCCTGCCTCCCATCCACAGCTGAAGAAGGACAAGGCTCTGCTGAGCAGCCTCCGGGAGACGCTGTCCTACCCTGCGTTCAAGACCATCACGGACCAGTTCCTGAGGGACGTGGACACCCGCGGGGAGTCGGAGGTGAAGGCCCAGGGCTTCAAGGCGGCCCTGGCCATAGACGCCATGGCCAAGCTCACGGCCATCGACACCCACCCCATGAACCGGGTGCTGGGCTTCGGAGCCAAGTACCTGAAAGATCACTTCTCGCCCTGGGTCCAGCAGCACGGAGGATGGGTGAGTGCCCAGGGGCGGGGTAGAGGGGGGCGCCCCAGGGCCAGAGGGGGTGCTGCAGGGGTTGGGGGGAGGAGAGGCAGGGGCCCACCTGAGGGGCCTCTGTTGCCTGGCACGCACCCCACCCACGAGCACCTGCTCCACGTGAGCTCCACGCAGGGCACGGGGAGACACAGGCACGCCGGGAGGGGTCGGGTGTGCAGGAAGGGATGCCAAGTCACAAGATGTGACTTCCGCCCCGGCAAATCCTGCAAGCAGAGGGTGGGCAGACGGTGCCCACAGGGCGGGAGGCCGCTCGGCCAGCAGAGAGGTCCAGGGGTCTGGCAACCTTTTGTCACCAGATAGGACCCACGGCCACATAAAGCGCTAAGCAAACAGTGGAAACCGCTGGTCCTGGGGCTCGAACTCAGGGCCTGGGTGCCATCCCTGAGCGTTTTTACTCTAGGTTGGTGCTCTACCACTTGAGCCACATCTCTGTTTCTGGCTCTTTGGCTGGTTAAGAGTCTCATGATTCTTGAGCTGGCTTTGAACTGTGATCCTCAGGTCTCAATCTCCTGAGGAGGTGGGTCACAAGCACAAAGCAGTTTCTTTACATTCAAGGAGCTGTGTCTCCCGCCCTCTGTGATCTCCCATAGCTCCTATTAGTTTTTTGTTGTTGTTTTCTGGTGCTGGTCCCTGGGCTTGAACTCATGACTTAAGTGCTGTTAGTGGATTTTTCTACTCAAGACTGATGCTCTACCACTTGAGCCACAGCCCTACTTCTGGTTCTTTTGGTGATTCACTGGAGATAAGAGTCTCAATGGACTTTGCTGCCCAGGCTGGCTTTGAACCATCATCCTCAGATCTCAATCTCCTAAGTAGCCAAGATTACAAACGTGAGCCACAGGCACCCAGCCACTACCATTACTTTATATACAACCTAGATGTTCAGAAACCGGGAGAGGAGAAGACATCTATCAGTCCAATTGTCTGATTACATAGCAATGAGCTAACTTGGCCTCATCAAGATTCCCTGCACCGGTCAGCGCGAGGTGCAGCCCCGAGCCCCACCTTTCCAGGCTTTAAGGAAGGAAGGCTGGCAGCTGCCGTCGATGGGGCTGGACGTGGGCCTGGCAGCCTGTCTTCCCTGACCCTGGAAGGCAGCCTCGGAGCCCTTCTGGGCCTCACTGCTAGGGTGAATCAGACTCAGAATTTGGGGGGTTTACCTCCCCCCTCTCTCTCTCATTTCCTCCTCTAGGAAAAAATACTTGGGATATCACATGACGAAGTAGACTGAGACTCCGCTGGACCAGCGTGGCTCAGGTTCCCCACTGGACGTGGGGGTGTCTACAAAGATAAGTGGTCACACTGATTTCCCACAGAGGGGGACCGCTGTCCCAGCGTCCCCCACCTGCTGTGTCAGCAAGTCCGTCCAGCCGGCCACCCACCTTGTGAGGGGAAGCGATAAACTGCCTGCCCGTGCTTCTTGGTATCCAGTGCTCTTCATTTTACCTACTGATTTGCTCGGTGGTGCTGGGGCTTGAATTCAGGGCTTTGCTCTTGCTGGGCAGGTGCTCTGCTGCTTGAGCCACACCTCCAGCCCTTTGGGCTCTAGTTATTTTTGGTCTGGTTCTCAAACTTTTTGCCCCTATCCGCCTAGAACAGCGTTGTTTTTTATGCTTGGGGTGGCAGGGGCGGTGTCTCCTAAACCTGTTTTCCTCGAGCCGGTCTCAAACTGCAATCCTTCCCACTTCAGCCTCCATACAGACAGGTACAAGGCCCCGGTGCCTGGCCTTATTTTTTGAACTACACATGGGATAACTTAAATAAAAGACATTACTTCATCCAGGCACTGGTGGCTCACGCCTATCATCCCAAGCTACTCAGGAGGCTGAGAGCTGAGGATTGAGGTTCAAAGCCAGCCCAGACAGGAAAGTCTGTGAGACGCTTATCTCCAACTAAACAACAAAAAAAAGCCAGCAGTGGAGCTTTGGCTTGAGTGGAAGTTCAGGGACAGTGCCCAGGCCGTGAATTCAAGCCCCAGGACCCCCCCCCCCCCCGCCCCGCACAGCCCCAAGCCCACCTGTAGACAGAGATGACGCCATTCTCATGGTAGTGACACAGCTTTAAGGAACATTTGGCGGTTTGCAGAGGCTCAGTGCGCGGGCCTCTCTGAGAGGAATCCCTTGGTCATTCCCTGAGTAGTAATGACTGCTGTCCAAAGGGTCACTATTCCAGAATCAGAGAAGCAGGGGAAGCCAACAGCAGAGCCCTTGCCACATTCCTGAGGCCTGCTTGCCTGGGCTGAGGCCAGAATCTACTCCCCTCCTCTCCTTTTATCCCTTCTCTTCCCCCTTTCTTCCTTTCCTCCCCCTCTTCCCCCCACCCCCACCATCTCCTCTCCTCTCTATTCCCATCTTCTCTCCAACACAGCCCTCACTCACTGCTCTTCAGAAACTGGCTCTGTCCATAATGAGGCTTTCTAGAAAGCGAGGTGTGTTCAGTGGGAGTGAGGCATGTTTTAAGAGGAGTCGTGCTGGGTCTTTCCTGCTCCTCCTCTCTCAGGGGGGGACTTGGACCAGGGTCTCTGCTCACAACTAGAGACAGTATAGACAACCCCCCCCCCAATAAAACCCACCCTGATCCAACCAAACCATTCACCACGGAGCCTAAGAGAAGTCTCTACTTGGGATGTTCCCTCCTGCTAGCCTCCTTCCTTCCTTGTTATCCAACCAAGTCCAGCCCAGCTCTGCAAGTTTATCCCTTCCCTTTCCCCTGCGTGGTTGCTCTCTCTCTGTCCCTGGTTGCACTGGGCCTTTCCTCAAGAATGCTCCCAAACTCCCAATGTAAAAACGTCTCTCCAGGAAGGAACGGGCTTACTAGTGGACCAGAAACATCTATAAACAAGAATAGGTATGGCTTCATTCTGTAGACCTAACGCCAGGCCGACTTTTGACACAAGCCCAGCCCCAGTGCTTGGCTTATAAACGGGAATGTGACCGAGTGTGGCCCCTGCTGCCTGTAGTCGCGACCAGCGCTCAAGAACCTGCTGTCACCTGTAACCTCTTGTCAAGATGAAGCGCCAGGAGCCAGTCTCCATCTCCTGCCTGAAACAGTAAATAACAAACGACCGTTTCCACCAGTCCTGCACTGGTGAGAGGCTGAGCCAGCCCAGGAACGCAGCGGGGTGCAGAGCCCAGGGCACGGAGTGGCAGAAGTGTGCAGGGCGGACGAGGAGAGGCATGCGGCCCAACGCAGATCAACATAGGGCCACGCGTGAGTTCAAACCCCTGTAGTGCCAAAAGGAAGGAAAAAAAAGCATTATTAACAGTTTCTTGAGGGAAAATAGCCAGTTTCTTAAAAAGTGAAGCATACACCGGGTGCCGGTGGCTCACACCTGTCATCCCTGCTACTCAAGCGGTGATCTGAGCACTGTGGTTCAAAGCCAGCCCGGGCAGGAAAGCCTGTGAGATTCTTACTGCCATGGACTATCAAACACCTGTAGGTGGAGCTGTGACTCCAGCAGTAGAGTGCTAGCCAGTCTTGAGTGACAAAGCTCAGTATAGCACCCAGGGCCTGAGTTCAAGCCTCAGGACTGACCAAAAAAAAAAAAAAAGGTCAGTCTACTGAGTAAAAGCAGAACTGAAAGGATACATTGTATAAATTTATTAAGCTTTAGAAAATGCAAACTCATCCACACTGAGAAAGAAAGCCATTGACCGTCTGGGACAGGAAGAGGCGGACGAAGGCTGGCCCTGGGGTACTGAACTACTCGCTGCCTCGACCGTCTCCCTGTGACATGAGCATGCGTACCACCGTGTGTGTTCAATGCATGCCACGCACTGCATGCAAACTATAGCTCAATAAAGCTCTTAGACGTGTCTCCAAAATGAAGGTAAACCTTAGGGCAGTTAGACATCTGTGCATCTGTGGAATCTGTGGCAAGCAGCCCGAACGCAGCACGGTATCAAGGCAGAAGGGAACAGTCGCTGCGGTCCTGCAGCACTCCGGACCTCCTTCCCATTATCGCCACAGCCAGCAGAACTTACCGCCCGGATGCCGAGCTCAGCAAGGACCCCCAGCTCAGCTTTGTAGAGGTGTCACCACACCATCTTACGCAGCGGAGCGACTCCACACCAGTGATACCCAGCCTGGTGACAAAGGTCACCTGCAGAACAGCTCACCAGCCATTCTGTTCCACCAGCACTGACTCGGGCAAGGGTCCTCCCCACCCCTCTCTAGGGCAGGACCTGAGTGAACACAAGCGACACCAGGCCTGAACTTGAGTCCTCCCGACATCATGGGAAGGGCAAGGGTTTTAACTTCTCACGAAGAAGGAAGAACACTTGTATTTTTCCAAAGTTTTATTATAAAAAAATCAACATTTCATTTGTTACAATTCAGCTTATTGTAATAATGAAAAAGGGTTTATACAAGGTCCTTTTGTACAGTTTATAATTAAAGCACTTATTTTACAAAAAGAGGGGAGTGAGGGAGACGAGGGATGACCAAATGTTGGCCATTATAATATAAATACATCCTTGCAAAGCACCATCGTACCCACGTCGATGTACAAGAAACACCAGCTGACATTAAGACACGACAAGTTAAAGCTTAGGAAACAATTTAAGAACACACAGGATAAACACCCGAAAGCAGTGCCAGTTCCTTCACTTGTATGTAAGCCAGCCTGGCCCGACATCCTTCCTGATTCTCACATCCCTCACTAACCCTGTCAACAGCTCCACATGGCACTGGACCACATCACTCCTTGCTGTTTTCCTCTCAGTATCCAGACTCAGCACCGACACAAACAGATGCACATTTCCACCTCACCATCTTCTCTCTGGGAAAGACAAACCTCAGACAGAGAGTAAGCAGAAAAAGCACGCTGTCTCAAAGTACTCTCTGTACTTGAGCAAAGGACATGTTGTATCTAGGAATCTTTTTCAGCAATCAACAGTTTCCAAATGGCTATGAAAGGGTAAATCTCACCTCAGGCGAAGGACGAGAGTAGAGCCAGGAATCTCTGATTCTAAATCATTAATATAGGGTGCAGGTGATTCACACCTGTGATCCTAGCTACGCAGGAAGCTGAGATTTGAGGATTGTGGTTTGAAGCCAGCCCGGGCAGAAGTCTCTGAGACTCTCATCTCCAATTAACCAGCAAAAAATCAGAGCTGTGGCTTAAATGGTAGAATGCCAGCCTTGAGTGAAAAAGCTCAGGGACAGCACTCAGGTCCTGAGTTTAAGCCCCAATACTAGACCCCCATCTCCCCTGTCCCCAGCCTAAGTCATCACAATAAACCCAAGAATCCCCACCCTCATTTAGGTACCGAGTTAGTCTAATCTGTAGAACCCAACCACAGAGAAATGTCCTGAGAACAATACTCACGTCAGTGTTTCAAATTACATAATTTTGTGTCTTAAGATTCAATATCCTGGGCTGGGAAGGTGGCTCAGTGGTAGAGTGCTTGCCTTGCATGCCTGAGGCCCTGGGTTCGATTCCTCAGCACCACATAAGCAGAAAGAAAAAAGCCGGAAGTGGCATTGTGGCTCAAGTGGTAGAGCGCTAGCCTTGAGCTGAAGAGCTGAGGGACAGCGCCCAGGCCCAGAGTTCAGGCCCCACGACCGGACCCAAAAAAAAAAAAAAGATTCAATATCCTCTACTCTTAAAACTAAGAAGGTCAAAAGCCACATTCTGAGACTATTGTGAAAGTATATGATCCTAGAGGTCAGAAACTGGGAGCTGGGCTCCAGTGGCTCACACCTACACTCACTCAGGAGGCTGAGATCTGAGGATCGCCAGTCAGAAGCCAGCCCAAGCAAAAGAAGTCCATGAGACTCATCTCTAGTTAACTACCAAAACAAAACAAACAAACAAAAAAAAAAAAAACAGAAAAACTGAAGTAGAACTGTGGCTAAAGTGGTAGAGCACTGACTTTGAACAAAAGTAGTTCAGGTTAGCCCCAGGAAAGGTACAAAGAAAGAAAGAAAGAAAAAAGAATGCTATTACGCTTTAAACAACAGTCATTTATCTGTACCTAGTCTCTGTGGTCAAAACGCTAACATTCTCCTATCCACCCTGTGAGCACTATTATTTAAGGATGTGAAAACCCCCAGATTTTTCTTTCTGAATAAGAAATAAAAGGATTTTTTAAAACTGTCTTTGTAAGGTTCTGATCTATGCAAGGAAAAAGATGCTCCCTCAAAAGCGAGGGCTGCGTAAAACAGGTGTGGCTACCTTGCACTTTACCCAAATGATTGATACTGGGGTATTTAGTTTTTACGAGACTGTCTTACAAACATAGCCCATGCTGAGCCAGAACTTGCTATGTGGCCCAG